CTGTTTGTCCGTCCGCAGCCTCCATGCTACAGTTCTAAAGCCGCTCACAGAATTGTCATACAATTTCTGACACTTTTCAATTTTAGTTGAAATCTAAGTGCAGTAACGGACACATCACACGAGGATGTACATGCATTTATACTTGCATCTCGACCGTAACTCACAAAATATTTATATGAACAAAAAAAATATATATAGAAAAGGAATGAAACTCTTATTTTGCGGTGAATACACTCTACCTTAAATCTTCCGGTTTTCGAGACAATTAACGAAATTGATTTTAGGCTTGGTCATTTTATAAGTCGAGAACATTTGAACTGAGTTTGATAAAACTATGTATTGGAGGTCCCTGCACAAATTGTGCCGAATTATCTCAAATTTCATAAAGATTTGACCAATAGAGGATATCAGGGCTGTAAGGGTGGTCAAACAACTCCCAGTTGACATGCTTCAGCAGTGCTCGAATGCGGCACTTGTATGCCGACGCTCAGTTTCATGGAGGAGCACTACGACTGCACTGGATGTCGACAATCTGCACCATTTTTAGAGATTCGCAATACACTTCTGACATTGTGGCTTCTTATTGAGTGAATTTTACCATCGGTACTCCTTTCCTTTCCCAGGATACATCTGCTGTCAGCTTTCTGGCATTCAGACGTTTGTTTAAACTTTTTCGGCTTGTTTGGTGAATGTGTGCATCCACTGCTTTGAGTGCTTTTAGGTTTCAGTACTTACAAATGAATCCAGGTTTCATCACCTGTTACTCGTGGGATGCGACTGAGATATTCATCGCCATCTTTATGGTATCGCTGTAAGAGAGTCAAAGCTGAAGCCATTCTCTGCGTTTTGTGCGCACCTGGTAGCATTTTCGGAACCCTTTGCGCACAATTTGTGATAGTCTAGCCTAACTATGATAATCTCATAGAGAACAGTGCGTGAAATTTGTGGAAATTCACACGTAACTTCCGAAATTGTAAAGCGGCGTCTTTCACTTTGAACAAGATCATCACTCACTACAGATAGCCGACCATTTCGCTTTTCATCGTGAACATTTGTTCGCCCATCTCTGAGCATTATACTCCGTTGTCTTGCACTTCCTTCACTCATTACATTTTGAGCCATAAACACCGAATAATTCACGGTGGATGTCCACAGCGATCATGCTTTTAGCATGAAGAAAGTTGATAACAGCACGAATTCCGCAGATGGCGGTATTCTTAATGGCAGGACACATCATAACTCACTGTGTAGAGATAAGAACAAACACTATGTGATGGTTTACAAGGCAATGAGTCATGTGGCACTACCTCGCATGCCCGAGTCCTCCCCTGCTTATGCATTAGTTGCATGAAACATTGGGAAGTTACTTTCCGAATAGCCCTCGTTTGTTGCTACAAAAACCTGGCTTCTGCGGAAGAAAGTCGGCTAGAATTGTAAACCCTTTTGTAAAACGGTTTCGCCGTTCTAAATCTACGTATCAGGTGGCCATGCTGTGGCTGTGAGATTAGGAATTTCAGGCGAGACTCGGCCTATTATTTGTTCGGACTCGTGCCACATGTTCTGGACGCAAGAACTAACGCCACTTCGCAAGAGGGTTTGGAGTATTTATTGCGTAGGCCTAGATATTAGAAATCGTACGAACTTAGTTAGTTAGTTAGTTAGTTATTGGAGAGGGTGGGTTTCCCCATGCACTTAGACCAGTATTGGTCCATTGTGCTTCCCTCTATGATATTCTACCAGTCTCTATACCCTACCGATATTGGTGCGTACCATCAGTCCCGCTG